CCCTCCAGGACCCTGCTGAGGGTGTAGAGCTGGTCCAGTGTTCCACGACCAGGACGAAAACCACACTGCTCTTCCTGAATCCGAGGTTCGACTATCCGACKGACCCTCCTCTCCAGGACCCCTGAATAGACCTTACCAGGGAGGCTTAAGAGTGTGACCCCCCCCTGTAATTGGAGCACACCCTCCGGTCCCCCCTTTTTAAACAGGGGGACCACCACCCCAGTCTGCCAATCCAGGGGTACTGCCCCCGATGTCCATGCGATATCGCAGAGTCGCGTAAGCCAACACAACCCTACAACATCCAGAGCCTTGAGGAACTCCGGGCGGATCTCATCCACCCCTCAGCTTCCTCAACAGAAGGCATGTTGGTGGGATTGAGGAGGTCTTCAAAGTATTCCACCCACCGGCACACAACGTCACGAGTTGAGGTCAGCAGTACACCATCCCCACTATAAACAGTGTTGGTGCTGCACTGCTTCTCCCTCCTGAGACGCCGGATGGTGGACCAGAATCGCCTCGAAGCCRTGCGGAAGTCTTTCTCCATAGCCAATAATATACCAAGACAAGAAAAATAAATGTATTTGAAAAAGGAATGGAAGTAAAAAAAAAACTTGTTTCCATCTTTCTCCAAAGTTTACTTTAAATTATCCATTTTTCTGTTTCCTTGTTCTGAATCACAGAGATATTTTCAGATCAAACCAATAATCAGTTTTACTTCTACACTATGTAACAATTACAAAAACTACTATTGATATTTGATATTACTTTTCTAGACGTACATCTACACTTTCAGATATATACAATTGTGTTATGTACATACATAAATATATACATACATACATATCGCATTAACATATTCAATAAATATATACAAATCTCCATATATAGTAAAAAAAAGCACTCAGCATCCCTATTTCTTTTAAAAATGATAGTTTTGTGACCTGTCCAGGGTGTACCCCGCCCCCCCACTGTGACTGCTGGATATGGGCATCAGTGACCCCCGTGACCCTGAAAGGAAGAAGCGAGTTTAGATAATGGATGGATTCCTTTCTTTAAACTTCTTTATGTGTGGACATTTCTCGAGTTCAACTGTTCTCTTAAATGACCCCCCCTCCCCCACCCTCAGCAAATAATTTTTGAATATTACCTGGTAATATTTAGATTTTCCATGAGTACGAGGAACGACCTCTGTGATGCAGTTTTAAGGACACACCTGTAATTAACCCTGTCACACTATAACGTTTTAGACAACTTATGCCAACTTATGAAGTTTTTAATGTTTAAATTACTCATAAAGGTTATATATTTGATTTGTTAGCATTACAGCATGTACACGCCTACAAGAGGCTTACATTAATTTTTTTTTAATTCCACCTTTAACGTGGATTGAAATTTAACATAACTTGTCTAAAACATTACAGTGTGACAGGGTCTTTAGACACATGAGCTGAATAAGATTTAGAAAAGTGAGAGGAAGTTTCTGTGAACAAACAGGTCATTTCTGCACGACACAGACTGATGACCACAGGTCACCGATTAAAACTCTAACCAGTTCACCTTGTTTAGTCAAATCCTTTCATTTTAACATTAGAAAAGGAAGTGAACTGGAGCAGAAGAGAAGGAAATATAATGCGTTTAAAAGTTTTATTGACAAAGGAACTCAACAAGTCATCCAAATTCTTGTTTTATCTGTGGTTTTGTAAAAAACAAGCGCACTGCTGGGTGTGTTGTCATAAAATGTTGTGACCTCCCTGTTTTTAACGTGACACAACCAAAAATAAACTTTATGTGCAGAAAAGCAGATTTTCCTACTTAAAAAAAAAAAGAAAAAAAAGAGGATTTAATACGTTCCTCAAATAAAATAACTTCTCACTTTAAGTAACTTGAGCTGATTTTCTGTTTTATTTTATATTTCAGTCAGGACATCATAAACAATAAACAAGTTTAACTTAAAGAAATGTGATTAATGTGCATGTTGTTTTATTTTGAAGGTTGAAGTAGTTTTTTTTTCACACTTGGTGAAACTAATCTGTCTCTGACAGCTCCAGATCTGCTGTTTGTCACGCAGAGCTGATTACAACCTGAGCTGAGACACTTTGTCACAGTTGTGTTCCTGTGTTCAGTCCCAGAGAGGAAGTGAGAAGTAAACTCACCTGTACCTGTCCGCAGATCCTCTGCTCCGCCTCGCGTCCTCGCTGAGCCTCGTTTCACCAGCTGTGCCTGCAGATGTCAGCCCAAATCTCAGTCTGACGGTGGATCCATCTCGAATGAGCCTGAGCCTCTGGAGTCTCCTCCTGACTCTGACACACAGGAGACGTCAGCTCGGCCTTTAATCTCACACCTGCCTGCAGGTACCCACCTGTCCTGGACCCCAGGAGTCTTTCACCTCCTTCTCTGAAACCTACAAACACGAGGAACACCATCTACAGCAGCATTCACTGTTTCCACCTGTAAAACCCCATAAACTCAGCTTTGGTTCTTGTTTGAAAGATCACATTCTGTCCCTTCAAATTAAAAGCATTTCTTTAACTTACCTGTTTCCAGTCTGGGGCTTTTAAGACTTAATAGTCTGTGAAGCATTTAATATGACAAGTACGGAGTAAGAAGAACAAATATTTATTGCCATAAAAGACAGGTGGTTATGTACAACTAATTATTCGTGTTTGTCTGTTAGCAAAATATCTCACAGACCACTGAATGGATTTTAATGAAGCTCTCAGAAAGTGATCTTTGGACGCAAGAATACGATTAATGAACTTTTGGAGTCGACCAGACTCAAGATGGCCGTGTTGAACAAGTCATCGTTCTGTGGTTAGAGGGATCGAAACTGGGTCAGTACACACACACACACACACACACACACACACACACACACACACACACAC